ATCTAAAATTATTGAAACGAATAATCATAATGGAAAAGCAGAGAAGGGGATTGCTAGGTCTTTGGGGAAAATGTGTCCCCAGTTAGTGGGATATTTGGTATTAATAAAATAAAAATATTTAACAAAAAGATATGGCGGCGCACATTTTCATCGAGCAGCCTTTTTATATTTATAAAATTTACTTTCATTGTTTAAATTAACTTTAAATAAATAAATTTGGCCCTCCTTTTAGTTTCCTTAAAAAAGTAGAAATCTTTTTATCTATTTATATATATATATAAATATATATATATATATATATATGAAAATCATCTATTCATGCATCAATTGACCCTTAACCTCAAAGACAAGCATTTAGCAATTTAAACCTTAATTGAAAATGATGTTTGTAGACAGCTGCTTCAATTCTTGGAAATCCATTGGCTTGATCATTGCGTGGAAAAAGAGAACTCTGTTTGAGCGGTGGTTCTCATCTTCATCTATGTGGCTATTTTATTTTATATATAAACATGACAAGTGGTACACTTGGGCATATAAGGTGAGGTTTTTTCTTTTGTCGATGTGGATGGATAAAGTATGGGTAAAGTTTAGCATTTTTTTTTTATTTTATATTATATTTATATTTATATTTAATAAATATTTTAAAAATTTTTTTATTTTTATTTTTATTCTCGTAAATATTTAATGCATATAAATAATCTTTATATTTATTATTTTAAAAAAAATAAAAACTAAAGTTTATTTTTAAAATTTTTTTTATTTTTAACTTGTATATTTAGATAATTTTTATAAATATATGTTAATATATTTTTAATAAAAATAAATTAATTTTAATTCATTTAAAATATTAATTTATATTATTTAATAAAAATTTTATTTATTAAATATATAAATATATATGTATATGTAGGGTACATGATGGATATTATATTACTCATCCTCATTCCTATGTCTAATAAAAATTTAAAATTATATACATTTTCATCTTTATGCCCACAATATAATATCCATTAAATACGAGTAAAATCAGTTTCTCCATTAAATATGAGTAAAATTGACATATTTATTTATTTTATTAAGATCCAAAACAAGAGGCTTAAAGACAAATTAGTACATGATCACACATATGGTATCATTTTAATATTCTAACAATCAATTTAAATTAAAATAAAAAAATCTCATTGTCATCACGACACCATTCATCTACGTCAGCATGAACATCAATGGAAAGATTAAAAACCCTAATTTCATGATTTCGAAATGTCATCAAAATGCCCTAATCTTTCTTGTCCTTTTAAAGCTAAATATCCTAACCTTATTGATGTCAACACAAAGATTTAGTATGTACATATCTTTTATCAACAATCCAATGGCTATTTGTTTGAAATAAATTGAAGAAAATGGATAAAAAAAAAAAAAAAAACTATGTTATTCCATATATAGTTTCAGACAAGAAGCTAGTGGTTAAGACCTCAATTTTCATCCAGATGCTTAGTTTTCCAATTTTCTATTAGGCAAATTAGTCGGTTCTATGTACCGTCCAAAGAAAATTAATATTGCAATTTGATAATAAAGTTTACCAAAAATGTTGACTTAAATATATATAAGGTGCCCAAAGTCAAGTAATGCTAACCTTTGGCTCCAAGAGCTCACATAAACATGATTAGAACTGAAATTTCAACATATCTATGACAATATATTAAAACAGTCCCTTGACTGCAATTTTCAGACAATTCAAATTTAGGTTTAATTATGATTTGAAGGTTAACGGTGGAAGTAACATTAGTTGGCGAGGTTAATTACGGAAAGAGTGTCGTTAGTTGAATTATTATAAAAGAAGCTTCTACAACTTCATGACTAGACAAGGAAAAACAAAGCTTTGGTTTAAATCTAAGAATGGGAAAGCAAAATGGGAAAGCAAAATGTGAAACCTCTCCTTACATGTTTTACTCTAGAAGATGATTTCCTAGCAATTGTGTCCCCAGATGGAACCGTCAAAGTATTTCTTTCTATCTCTACTTACTTTTCATTTTTTTTAAATAAAATTTACTGTTTAGGTCCTTTTTTTTTGGAGTTTTTTTTATTGCTCTTGAAATAAATTTGCAATTGTATAAAGTAATACTCCCTATGTTAGTTTTAAAGTAAAAATAATATATTAGTACTTGTAAGCTATTCGAATTCGATTCGAATAAAATTTAAATTCGGCTTGATTATTATTAACTCGAGTTTGAATAGTTCAACTTATCGAACGAGTCAAGTTTGAAAATTCTTATATCTGATTCAAGTAACTCGTGAGCCTAATCGAGTTTTTATATTTTAATATATTTTAATTATTTTAATTGATAAAATATCTCAAATTCGAATTTGAGTTCAAGTACAAATAATTGAGTTTTTATCAAATAAGAATCAAATTTATTTTTACATGTTAATTGAATCTAATCGAGTGAGTTTAAATAACTTGATTTCTATCTCAAGTTGACCTCAAACTAAAAAAATAAAACTTAATCGAGTTTGAGCCAAATTTCAAGCCTCAAATTTGAAATCAAGTTCGAGTTCAAACTTAATACTATATTGACTCGAACTCAATCAATTATACTCATAATATTGGTGCAATACTTAGAAGGAGATTGGTTGAAAGACTAATTCTATGTTGCAAATGATTTTTTTTTCTTACTTTCTCCCTTTGAATATATATATATATATATATATATATATAATTATCACAAAGTATCCTTCATAAGGAAAAAAAAAAAAAAAAAGCCCATGCTGTCAGCCTCTTGAACTAGCATATGAAAGTGGAAAGAATCCTTGAGTTTGGTAATGAAAAAAAAAAAAAAAGTTTTTAGAGTTGGTAGGGAAAATTGTGTAGATTTTGGGATTAATTTGAACTGGGTTTATTATAGGTGAGATTTGATTAGGGAAATCCGAGGATTTTAGTTAACAAGTTAGGATTTCTGGATAATGGCAATTAGGTTAGTAATTAGTTATAGGTTTAGGGTTAAATGTTAGAAATGGAAAAGACTAGGACTTCAATATTGTTTCTATTTTCCTAGGTGATTTCTATCTCAAGAAACTTTCATGTCATTTTTAAGAATTATAGTTGATTTGATTATAAGCGTAAATTTCATATAATATTTTGATTAATCATACATAATTATAAAATATAATTAATTAATTATAATGTAACAAATGTACGTGATATCCTCCTAGGAAAACAACCATTTTCTCTATTTGTTGATCACATAATTAAATTTACCCATATTCTTGGATAATCAATCTGAAAAAAAAAAAAAAAAAAGATCTGCCTTCTTATGGAGCCTTCTTACTAAACAGTTCCGACTCTTTGATTCTTGTGACCTTACTAAAAGAAAAAATTCATGGAATTTTGTCTTTCTTTTTTTTTTTTAGCCGGGGAGTTCATCCATTATAGTAAGTGATAGAATTTTACTAATTTGTTGATGGTTATTTCAAATCTCTCATTTCCATAGCGTATAATGCATCATGTCTAATAGTTGGATCTTGAGCATTTTATCTATTCATACATAATTTTATGTAAAAATAAATATCATCACAATTGGATCGGATAATAACTCGTTTAAAACTTTAGATTTTGGGTCAATTACTCAACTGTTGATTTATTGAAATTAAAAAAATATTTTAATATATTATAAATAAAATTCTAAATTATATAAATATTTTACATAATTGTATAAATTAAAACTTATAATATAAAAATTATAAATATTCATTATCATTTGAGATTTTAGATAAAAACAAATTTTGCAATTTTTTTTTACTTTTTTATTTTTATAATTTTTTTATTTTTAACCTTTTTTCATGAAAAATAATTGTTTTAATGAAAATGGTGAAAGAATCACTAATAAATATGCAAAAATTAAGGTAGGTTTGATTTTAAAATTATTTCAAAAAGTAAAATTTTAATTGAATTGGGTCATTAACAAACCCAACGGGTTATCAATTTTTTCATAAATTCAACAAGTCAACTCAAATTTCCTTTAACTAATTGCACAAATAATTTGATTAAAGAATTGATTTGGGTCAGGTTTGCCCGAATTTAAAAATTAATTATAGTAAAAAATTATATAATAATTTCATTTACTATCAAAGAGATTTTATTTGAACTTCATTTTAATTTCAATTTCGAAAAGGTAAACATTGGAGGAAAAATCAACTTATAATATAGAATAAAAAAGGGAATTTATACATCAAATTTGAAGGAAATCAAGAAATTAAAAGTATCCAAGTTTTACATTGGTTAATAATTTAAAAACCTAGCTTTACTATATAGTATTCAAATGGTTAAACATGGGTGAGGCTACATCCATTAACCATTATATAAGTTTCCATATTAGGTTAAAATTAAAATTAAAAAAAAAATCAAAAGATAGGATTTCTCAATTGTGTGATGCTTATGAGGTATTCACCAACATGCTTGCTAACATCATATTAGTGGACTATTTGAAGGGTCTAGTCATTATTATAAATAAAATAGACATCAGAGCCTTGCAAGAAAAGTAACACATTAATCAAATCAAATAACATGATACATAGTTTTGCAGGTTCTTGTTTGGTCTGCCAAACTGCTGTATATTCTTCCCAAAGTAAGAAGAAAACACCCATTTTAGATAAGACAAAAATTAAGCCATTGAAGATAGAAAAGAAAGGGCTAAAACAATTATAGAATTGAAGCTATGGTTTCTGTTGCATCCAAATGGGACATAATTAAAGAAAATTTAAGAAAGAACAAATTTGTTTGCAAAAGTAGAAATCTCAAAGTCACATGAAATTAGGTTAATCTTTTATATTTACAGAGAGAAGATAATAATAAGATTAAAGAGAGACAAACAGATGCATAAAATTTAGTTAAAACTATATCTAAAATCCCCACCCAAAAACATCATCTTCAATGATCAAATATTCAATTAATTCTATAAAATTAAAGGAAGGAAGAAAAATAAAAACCCAAAGTAAAGAATCAATTATGCAAGTTGAGCTTCTTCAAATCCATGCATGTGAGAAGCATCCAAAGGGAGCAATGGAAATTCAACAAGCTCTTGAATAAATCCATCCAAATCTCCAAAACCACTTAAGAAACCACCTGAATTCTCACCAAAATGATTCCACAAACCTTCTTCTTCCTTAACCCTTTCTCTTGTTTCCAAGCCTGCAAGGAACCCCGTTCTCAGCTCCATTTTCTTGGCCATAGCTGCTGCCACAGGCTTGTCACAAAAACTGGTGGTCCTATGCTCTTGAACATGATCTCTTCTAGCAATTCTAGCTTTCTTTTTGAAACCCTTTTCTTGAGCTGCTTTCCCTGTGAGTCTTTGCACCAGTTCTCTGAAGTTCGCTACGTCAGTTTTGATGATTTCTGGTGCAAATATATGAATTATGCGGATCTTTGGCTTTGGCTTTGATATTGTTTTTGAATCCTTGTGAATGGATAGTGCTGCTGATGGTGTTGAAGGAGGCATTCTGGTTTGATTCCTGATCATGAAATTCTCCATGAAAAATGTTTGACAGAAAGCAAAAAAAAAAGAGAGAGAAAGAGGTGGGGGAGTTGGTGTATTTGTTTAGAGAAATGAAAGGAGGAAGGCTTATATAGGAAGCGATGGTGATAGGAAAGATTTTGTTTAATGGAGAAAAAAAAAAACACAAAGCTGTCTGTTGGGACTAAGGACTGGATGAATCCTTGTCTGACAAACTGGAGGAGATTCAATAAAGTAATACAGATGGTCCCCCAATTCTCAAAATTGGATTAATTTATTATATGTTTTATTAGTGTCAAAATATGCATAATTTTTTAACATATTGCTTCTTTTATCTTATTGCAATGACCAAACTATCCTCTCTATTTTTTAAACATTTATATGTGAATTGGCTTGATTTACCACACATACAAGAAAGGTTGGTTTCCACTTTCCTCCACCGGTTGAAAATAATATTCATAACTCAAAGTAGAATATTCAACGGGAATTTTTTTTTCCTTAAAATTGGCGACGTCAAAATGTAAACAACTAAGTATGATTCATTTAGATAGTTGAAAACTTTTCAAATATCAAGTAGATTTGATTGATGGAACGATGATTAGAAAAACTATGTATAACTAATTTTTTGTTCCTGAGTTTAATTCAAGTGATAGTAAAAATGAGATATGTGAATATATATATTGTGAAAAATCGTATTTAATATATCAATATATATGATATTATTTGTTTTAATTTAAAATTTTTACGATTTTATTTTTTAAAAGATATTTTATAAATTTAAAATTATATATTTACATATATATTATTTTTTATTGATATATTTTTTTAACATAAAATTAAAAGCGTTACAATCTCTATATTTTTATTTTTTAATAATCTCTTAAAAAACCAACGTTCTATTAACATGATTCCACAAGGTTACTGCTTTATAAACGAATAATCGGCTTATATTGTTTGGAATAGGACATGTCATGGCTTTGCATAAACGACAGCCGTATGTATCCGCGTTTCAATGATTATGTATAACTTTTTATTAATCCATTTTGAAATGCGTTTTTTTTCTTTTATAATCTTTTTGTGCCTCCCAACATTTTTTAATTTCGTATTTCCCCTCCACGATCTTTTTGATTCTTCAATTTTGATCACAACTACTTCAATTAATTCAATTGTTCTTGATATTTTTAACAGATTAATTAAACTTTAAGCTAGCGGAACTCGAAATTGACCAAACAAAACTAGTGGAATTCGAAATTTAGGAGAAAAATATTCACCCATTAACAAGTAATTGAAAAAAAAAAGGTCAAAGTTACAAAAAATTCATAAGAATGCTCAAAATGATTTAGGTATGGTTGGTAGTTTGGGCACATAATTAGCAATTAATAACAATCATTTAGTAAAATTACTTGCAGCAATATCAATCATTAATTGGGTACATAATTGCTTCCAACTGTATAAGTTGACTAAAAACTTTGGCAATGTTTAAAAAAAAATATTATCGAATTTCAAGATCCATGTCTTTCTCCAATTCTCTTTTTGGGTTATTATAGAATCGTTACTCGTTAATTGTCAAGTGGATTTTCATATGTAATTTGAGTGCCAAAGAAATAAAAAGCCCTAAATCTTATATTTCAAATTGCTTATAGGGATTTTACAATTATGTACAAAAAATGGGATTTTAATTGAAAGGTTACAGAGATATATAGCATTAGCTATTTAGACATCTAAATATTTTATAATTAAGAATCCTAAATTTAAATTGGAATTAATATATATAATCCCATCTTAATTAAAAAAAAAAAAACATAAAACATTAGTTGGCTTAGGGCTATATATTAGACAAGGGTAAATTGAAAATGTGAAAACAAAAGTGTGCAAAAATGTCACAAAGACTTGAAGCTGATCAGACTCAAGCAAAAATAAAGATGTCAATGAATAAGGTATGTGATGGGTTAATCATTTTTCATCATCAAAATTTTATATTATATTTATTTTTATACACAGTATTTAATAAATATTTTAAATCTATTCTCATTTTTATTTTGTGAATATTTAATACGTACTAATAATTCTTTTTCTTGTAGCTTTTTTTTTTAAATTATTTGTTTAGTTTGTTTCTAATTTTTATCTTGCACATTTATATAAATTTTTTAAATATATATATTAATATATATTTAAAATATAAGTATATTAATTCTAATTAATTAAAATAATAATTTATATTATTTAATAAAAAATTATTTATTAAATATATATAAAGCATAGGATATAGATATAAAATAAAAATCTAAAATCATATTCGTCTCCATACTTATAAAATAATACTCATATTAATTCTCGTTTAAATAAAAACTAAATTTCTCGTTAAATATTGATAAGATTGACAAAAAATTCTCAAAATGTCATACATATTTAACTGAATGTGAGTGAGTAAAAATGATGTTTTTGTTGCATCCTGTTTACCTCTTCAAAGGACTAACAGGCAAAGCCGTATAGAAAAGAAAATTAATTTATGTATGAATCTTATTTCAGTCGGTGTACTCGCCAAAACTTGGACGCTCTCGTACGGACATTTACCGTATAGATCTCACTTTGCTCTATATATATTATAATTCACTTGAACAATGCTTTCATTTGTCTCTAAGTTCATTTTCATCTTCTAGCTAGCTAATGAGAAAAAACCATAGCCGGTTTCAATATTCATTTTCCCTGTCACTCTCACACTCACGAAGCTTTCCAACCCCACCAATTATATACATATATATTCTCCATGACTACAGCAATACCCCAAGTTAATTTTCTTAAAACCCTAATTAACTAGCTAGCTAGCTAGCTAGCATTGGGTTTAGGTCCTATAATCGCAAGATTATGGAAGCGTGGAGCGCATGATAGCCGGCGGAGAAGATTTGTAAAAAATCTTGTACCCTTTTCGGTTCCAAAAATTTGGAGATAGTATATTAAAGAAGAGACCACATTATTTTTCCAAAGAGAAAATAATAAAGATAGAGCGAGAGAGAGTAAAAATGGCCGTTGGATGTGCACGTGAAGAGGGAGATTCGATGAGATTTGAGGGCCAGAGTGGTTTGCGTCACCAAAAGGGGAGGAGCTGCAGCAGTGGACACGAGTCTCGTGCCGGCTAGGCCGGCCCACCCCTATTTACCGTAAGTAAATTACGCATCGGCCTCTGATTGCCACGTGTACCCAAATATCTTTTCTTTCTTTTTTTAATAAAAAATGAATTGTACCCAAAACCAAAAACAACAAAAACCGTGTGAGTGAGGGCCCACTGGTTGACATGGTTCCCGGTCTTTCCTTCGTTATATCTTCCTTCTTGGCTGGCTCGCTCACTTTGCTGAGCTGGATTCTACTTTCCTTTCAGTTTCACCAACGTGCTCTGATGTTAGATTTTTGGACCAACTACACGGTATATGACATGATTAATTTGATTTTGATGTATACATATAAATTAATTAATAGTGCACCAAATCTAATTAGAAGCAGCCATTGCAACCTAATTTCCATAACCCTTTTCTAGAAAAGAAAAAAAATTTTCTGCTTGATATGACATGATTTTCTCGTAATAAGTTCAATAGAAATTTTACTTTTAGCAAAGACTCGGATTGATTGATGTAGTGAACAATATTTCACGTTGACTTTAACTGTATTATTATTATTATTATTATTATTGTTATTATTATTATTTAGACAAACCATTCAATTCAAAACTTTTTTAATGAAGTTATAGTTGGTATTCAAACAATAACTTCAAATTCAACATCATATCGGACTGGTTTGAGTTTAGCATTAAGATTAGATGTTTAAATCTACAACTTATAGTTCTTAATTTTTATTTGTTTTTATAATACAATCCGGATTTTTGTCAAAGCTTAATCCGGATTTTTTTAATTTCTTAATTAATTACATGTAATTATTTGATTATACTGGCGTAGAACTGTTTACACACTACCTACTCCACAAGATAAGTCGTTCTGGATTAAATATGTGTTCATACTAATTTTTTTGTTTTCGGATAATCGAATCATGTTCACACTTTGTATTTTGCTCGAGATGTTCATGAACTTCTAGAATGATTTAATTACATATTTTATACTTGAATTTTATGAAAATATATAATAAAATATATAATTTACATCATAAATTTTTAAATAATATACAATTTATATCCTAAACTGTTAAATTATGTATCATACTAATTTAAATTTTAATTCATTTAATCATATTAATTTATATATGCAGCATTTGATAAATATTATCAAATTACATATGCATCACACACATTATCAATATTTTTTAATATAAAATAAATATATTCTTTTATATGAATCATAAAAAATATTTATGATTGATTAATTATTTTTTTGTCATGTGATATCTATATGAATATTTTTACAAAAATTTTTTTAATACTTTTTTTTATAATAAAATTATACTGATTAGATATCGTATAAGCAAGTTAAATTAATAATATTAAATTTTAAATTAAAATAATATATTATTTGAATATTTCCTTAAAATTTAAATATAAAAAAATGCAATTAATTCATCTAGAATATTATTACTTATTTTTCCACGAATATCTTTTAGTAAAAAACTATACGAGTAAATATATATCATATCTATTTCACAGTTTTCTTATTAATTTTTGTGTATAATTACCAAATGTAGGAAGTACATTGTTATATTTTAAACAAATTTTTACATATCGGTATGTATAGCTAGCGAATTCAATGGTGGAAGGACCTTAATTTAAATATAGAAGAGTCAAGGATTAACTACTCTCACATAAAATAATTGCAAGAGTTTGTGCTGTGTAGGTTTACATTGGTTTCATTCATTCAAATGCAGACTAATTGAAAATTGGAAAAAGAAAGGTGGCAGATGAGTTATATTATTACTAATACGCTCCGTTTGACAGAAAGGAAAAAATATTGGGAAAAGCAAAAGTTTCTTTTATTATTAGTATATGATAGTGCTACTACATGAATCATATATATTATGAAAGGAAAAGTAATTATAACCATAATATATGATTAACGAAATGATAAATCATTGAGGTGTTTGAAGACCAATTATTAAACATGTTAAATCTTCATTAAAAAAAATTTATGTCGAGTCTAAATAGAAACAATTAAAGATTTGGGGGTTAAACCTTCTGCACATAGGATCCATAGCTTAGTTAGTTTATGTAATAATTTTTAAAAGTTAACATCTATTAGGTTTAGAATTTAAATCTTAACGTTGATAAATTTTTTCATATTTTAAAATTACGGTCTATTTTATATATACACATATTATCTTTAAAAAGGAGATGATAAGAAATTATTTCCATATCTTATAATGATCCCGTCTATTTTAATATTATTCTGCAAAATCGTTCAACAAGGAAAACACCATATTAATTGTCAAAGCTTCATTTAATCTGAAAATAATTTAAAAAATGATAGTATCTTAATAAGTAACTATAAGGTAAAACTCAACAAGCATGTGAAAAGAAATGCTGAGACCGTAACGAAACCAGCACATATATTAAGCCCTAAACTAAACCCAGAAGGCCTCTAAAGAGGCCCAGATTGATAAATATTAATTCAGAAGTGTTACAGGAAAGTTCGACTACTCCCTTGTGTCGTGTAGCATCAAGTGGCGAATTTGATGAACTTACAATATTGAAATTTTGATTGCGAGCCTATATAAACATGCATGCCAAGAGCTTTGACGTACCGTGATATAAAACATAAATTATTGCCCGCCATTGAAATTGAGTTAGATTTTACTTTATTTATGTCCAGTAATAGCACCAATAGAAGACGATGGAATCCGTTATGAAAATAAAAATCTTGGCCAACAACCCATCCCGGGAGTGATGACTGTAAGCATGATGTTTGCTCTTTAATTTGCTTCTTCCAGGGTCAATTACTTAGTTCTAGATACACAACAAACCAATATATTCTCAAACTATCAAAATATAGATGTAATCATGTCTCGGAAGAGATAAAAGACATAAAATACTCCAACGTTTGCAATGTTTAAGCCTAACAACATGATTATCTTCCCTACCAACCAAAAGAAAAAAAAATTATTATCTGCCCTAAGTTTACAAAATCACATTAAAGATTAAAGGAAACTCAGAGACAGGGAAAATTGCAGATACTAAATCTGGAAGTTACAAATAAAAAAGTACCGAGACTAAAGAAGGTCAAGAAACCCTTACTCGTATCACTTCCACTAGATAGTATTGCACATCTAGCATGTTAAAAAAGGCTCTCACTCATACAAGACTGCATAATATCTCATGCTATCAACTACTTGGACAGAACTAGTAGCCCTCACACTACTGTCTTTCGCAACTCAGCTGCACCATGTGCAAAGTGACATCTTTCTCCAAAAGTGCAACTTCCCTTTGCAAAATTGTCACACAACTTTGTCTTGTAGTTGCTTCCGGAATGCCCTTGACCACCAGTGACACCAGGCGGTTTTGCAGGACCTGGGACAGGACCAAGGCTGCTGATAAGCTCTCTAACCATTGCACTGGCTTGTTTAATTTGCTCAAATGATCCTTCAAGCTCAATATTCCTAAGGGTGGGATCTGACTCATGCTCCCGAATAGAAAGTTTTGCTCCTGTTCGACGACATATCTGCTTGGAGTGCACACCACCCTTGCCAATTATGGCCCCAGCAAGGGAAGCATCCACACTAATTTTTGCAGTGGCTGAGGCACCAAAGCTAGCAGCAGGACCTGATGGGGGTGGGGGCTCCATCCGGCTGCCCATATGACCAGGAATAGGTGCCATGGTACGGGGATCATCATGAGATTGAGCAATAGGCTTGCCAAGTTCCCAGTCTCCATGTGCAAAATGACACTTGTCACCATACTTGCAACCTTCAGCACTACTAAATTTGTTGCACAAGCGAGTTTTGACTGCAGGGGCAGATCCATTAGGGATGGCAGCAGATGCTGCCATGCTTCTAGAAGCTGCAGGAACAGCTGGTGCAAGGTTCATTATCTGCGCCACTGCATTGTAACCTCCTGGAACATAGTGCAAGAAGTGGCAGCTCTCACCAAATGGACAACCAGCAGTGCTGCAATAAAAGCACGAAATAGGGTCAGATAATGCTTAGAAGAATCCATGAGATCAGCAGCTAAGTATAGATCTATCAAATGTAGATAAAATATACAAGCTTCACTTGCATTAGACGTTGTAACTTTGGATTCAAACCATCAGAAAACCAGATATTCCAATAGACCAGAAACCTAGCTAAAGTGAGCACACAGAAAATATCTAAACTTAAAAGCAGACGGGTGCACAGAACCTGTGTAAAAAAGTTTCCTGTCATGTTTATTAGAGTTTAGTGGCATTACACCAGAAACAATGGAACATGTCTTTTTTATTTCAAGGTGGATACTTAAAAGGCCAAGTAATAAGACCAAAGCTTCCTCCTATATTGGCTACAGGTTATCTATTACGTATTTATGTGCACAAACAACAAATCAAACCATAAAATCTTAATCCAAATAAAAAATAATAAATTAATAACAAAGTTGAAAAGCTATTGGTATCAATAATGACCAATTAAAGATAATGCCATGCTTCGCTATATTTCAATAACAGGGTACACAGAAATAATAAAAAAAAGTGTTCCAATCACATAATTTTCACATGCGCGTACCTGAATTCCGTGACACTTTCACTTAACTTATAAAGTGAGTAACTTACCAATGGATTCAATAACCGTACCAATTCTGAATATTTTAAGATTCAATAACCATTTAATTCATTCTTAGGTACAGTTCATAAGTTAATAACAAATGAGAGATCTTTGATATAATTTGCCTTTATCACCAACTAACTCCAGCAAAATTGTTAGAAATGATGCCAATCTCTGTTATTCTTTAACTTGATTATGATCAAACAACAGTAACGTACCTGTAATAACTCAATACCCACATTTCATTAGCAAAATCGTGCATTTTTAACCATTAAGAAATTGTAAATTTAAAATATTTTCACATTATAAGCATTAGACAGAACAGATAAAAAGATAATTAAGAATAATTTAAATTATAAATACTACTAATATTTATTTATGTGGGTTAAAGAATTTTAACCTGAAAAACTTGGTGCATGGCTTCGATTTGCTTCCTACACCAGTTGATAAAGATTCCAATTCTGTTGCAAAACATTAATTAATTACTTTTTCTCAGTTACAATTGTTTTTCTATACTTTTTAACCAAATTAACCCCCCATAAATTCCACGTTATTAATTCTTCATATGACCTAATAATGAAATTTCATTACTAATAATTAAATAAACAATCCGTATTTATATCCATGCTTGTAAATATTAACGAGAACAAAAAAACAAGTACTGTTTTTTTTGTAGAAAAGAAAGGGGCCAAACCTGGCTTAGATTTCTTGATGCCGCCATTAAAGTTGAAGCCAGCTTCATTCCTTCCTCTTTTACGAGTATCCATTCAAAAAATTTCTTTTAACGATAAGAAAATCACAGATCCAGATCCAAAGAGAAAAAAAACGAACAAATAAATCAATTTTCCGATTGAACGGAAAACCAAATGATATTATGTATTTCAGTCAACCTAAAAACCCTAGAAAGAGAAAGATTAAAACCTTAGAGAGAAAAACCCTAAACCTAGCTTTGGAAGGGTTTTGGGGAGGAAAAGGAAACTACAAGCAAGAGCCGAGGACCTAAGAGAGTGGGAAAAAAGGTTGATACGATGAAGATATTTAAGAGCGACTATTTATATTTATAGATTTGTTTAATTTTTTTTAAAAGCGTATAATAACAATTTGGCGGATTTTGTTATTAGGGTTTAAATGTAGTTAATTGCTAGGGTTGGATTCCGCGAGTTGGCCGACTTTTTGACCGAATAATCGGGGCCCTGTAGTCACTCTTCTGTCACGTGATCCATAATGGAAAGGGCTGGATTTTGTTTGACGTCAGAAAGAATCTAGCCACTTTAGGTTCCTTTGGGCTACAATTAGGAACTCAATGGGTTTAAAATGGGTCCATAATTAAATTAACCCAAGTGACTCATGTTTCAGGCCGGTGAACCAAGCGCCCAAAATTGCAAGCCAGCCAAGACCACCCAGGTCCCAGGGTCAACCGTGGGCGCCCACGCTCAAAACACTCCTCGACAGACGACAACGCCAAAGCTGCCCGTCTCCTCCCAACTGTTCGAAACCAAAACTCCATCAAACCACTTCGATTTCATCGAAAATCAAACAAAACAACACACAAACCACATTTATATAACAGAACAAGTTTGTACGCTTTTAACATTTAAAGCAAAACCCAAAATTTCTCTCCATCTCAACCCTTCTTCTTCTTCACTTGGGTGAGTTCACGGATCTTTCAATGTTATACTGATCTTCAGTTTTCTTGGGTCTCATTATTTCTTCTTCTATAATCACTGTGAAATGTGGTTTACTATTGAAACTTTAATAATGGGTTTCATTTTTTCTTGTGTCTGGTTTGGAAGTTTGAACTTGATCTTCTGTTTTATCTTTGCTTGACCATCTAGAGAAACTAATGTTAGAAATTTTCTTTTCTTATTTGATTGCTAAGAAATCTGATGAAAATAATTAATGATGTGTTACATGTCAGACCATTGCAGCAGACAATGGTCACACTATTCCTAGAAGTAGAAACCACAATATGGGAAAGGAAAACTGAGCCTTTTTAGAAAGTAATGATATGTTGTGTTGATTTATACATTGTGCAAACTAATTCGAATTGGGTGTTTGAGACCCACTATTGATTAAGAAAAGTTTTTAACTTATGGTATTTTTGCATGCCCAAACTTTTGAAGAGGTAATGTAGTTGTTTTTTTTCTATTAAGTAAACTTCCTAGCTAATGATGCTGCTTAAAAGCTTTGTCTTTCTATGAACCATATTGTTATCTGTTTCATTTGATTATATAACTGTCCTTCTCGATCTTGCAGAATTGTTTGATTTCGGGTGATTCAACTAAAACAAGATGGGAATGGCTGCAGCTCCTGGGTCATACATGGCAACTATTAAGCCTTGTATTTCTTCTTCTTATCCTAAAATGCTTCTCTCAAGGGTGGTGTTCATCGGCACTGGGCATAAAGAGGCATCTTGGACAAGGCTTGCAAGCTTCTCTCACATCTCATCAAGGCAGCCTTTCCAGCTTAGGATCACTTCGGGACCTGTGAAATTTGAAAAGTTTGTTACAAGAGCAATGTCTGAGGCAAATGACAACAAGCCTTTGTCGGGACTGCCTATTGATTTGAGAGGTTACCTATCCTTATCTCCCCCCGCCCTTCTTTTCTAAAGCTTGATTTAATGTTTTTCATCTTCTTCATAGATTTTACCTTTCCCATCAATGATAGTTTCTCTTCACTCCATTCACTCTTTACGTGTCTTTCTATTCACAGAAAAAGTATGACAATCTGGTATACTTATTCTAGTACCAAGCATGTTTCACCACCATCTTCTAAGCATTAATTCAAAAGCCCACTTGTATTGTTCCTAGATGAATCAACATTGAACACAGATAGACTACATGATTATGAGTAGCATTTCACCATATGCTCATGCTTATTGAACCTGAAAATTATTTTTACCTCAACGTGTCGTGTCCTGACTCAAAATCTCTTAAGGCATGAAACTTGTCTGTGAGTTACGAACATAACCACTTGAACATCTAACATGAGGCATCTGTTAGCAGGTAAAAGAGCATTTATAGCTGGTGTTGCTGATGACAATGGATATGGTTGGGCAATAGCAAAATCCCTTGCTGCTGCTGGAGCTGAAATTCTTGTTGGAACATGGGTGCCTGTATGTATCTTGATCTAATGTATTGGTCATTTAGAAACAGAGATTCTCATTTAATGTCAAAGTTGTGTATTATTTCATTTTTTCTCACAATTGCATGCATTTCTTTGTGCAGGCACTCAACATATTTGAGAGCAGTCTAAGGCGTGGGAAATTTGATGAATCACGCATGTAAGAACAAAATGGCCTTCCCGATTGATTGTATAGATTTTGGTATTTGTTGAACTCTCCCTTACCCTATGCTAATTGGAATTTTACTTTTACAGATTGCCAGATGGGTCATTAATGGAGATCACCAAAGTTTATCCCATGGATGCTGTTTATGACTGTCCTGAGGATGTTCCTGAAGATGTAAGCGTTTTCTTCACATAGTTTAAAGAAGAAGTCAAATATTAATTTGTGGTATCCTAATTTTTGGTTCTTGCAGGTGAAAACAAATAAACGCTATTCTGGGTCTTCAAATTGGACAGTTCAGGTAAAACAGTGTTCAGTCAAACTCAAACCGCATAATATGTAACTTTTTAAGTTGCCTTTGCATCTCGTAGGGCAGATAAAATCTTCTCTTGATTTAGGTATATATATTTTGATATCAAACCAAGGAGCAAAAATACCTTTTGCATGATTTAATGAACTGCATTTTTCTTTCCTAAATAGTTAGACATAGAGCAGTGTAAATCACAATGTTCAGATTTGTGCAGCTTTTCCTTTTCCTCATGTCATGCTATATTTGCCCCAAAAAGTTGGAATTTTGAGTTTGTTTAGTTAAATTAAATTTATGGATGGATCATGAATTACTACAGATCCATGGCTTCACCTGTTAATTAGGTGTCAAAATCATTTGGTTTTCACAAAGCAGAGTGTCCTACTTGGCCATAATCACACTCAATCTATTTAAGGAATGGTATCATAGCTGACCACATTGTGTAATTGTCTCACAGGAGCTTGTTGAATCTGTGAAAAAGGATTTTGGCAGCATTGACATTCTTGTTCACTCACTTGCAAATGGACCAGAGGTGTGGTGTTCGTCACTTTCATACACCAGTGCTGTTTTTCTCAAATATTGTCAAGGTACTTATCTGTTTTTAACATATATTGGCAGGTAAGCAAACCACTTTTAGAGACATCGAGAAAAGGATATCTTGCTGCTATATCTGCTTCAAGTTACTCCTTTGTTTCTCTACTCAAGCATTTTCTTCCAATAATGAATCCAGGCATGTTTCTCATTGAATCTCACCCTATTTTCTTTCTTAACAATCCATGGAATTGAACATGCAATTGTTGCTTGAATTTAAGCTTGTCTATTGATGCTGCAGGAGGTGCTTCAATTTCTCTGACATACATTGCTTCTGAAAGAATAATCCCTGGGTATGTTGCCATTTATATTTTTCTATTTAAGGCATCTTTCTTATAAATATTTTGTTACATTTTATCATGTCATTCTATGGGCAGATATGGTGGAGGCATGAGTTCAGCGAAGGCTGCCTTGGAGAGTGATACACGTGTGGGTTTTTCTTTCTTCTTTTTGCGTATTGTCTGGGCTTGCTTTCTGTTTCTGTCTCACCTGCTTGCTATATTTTAGCATCTCCTTCAGTTTTGTCCAACTATTGGTAACTTAGTGTTTGCTTGATACAGGTGCTGGCTTTTGAAGCTGGTAGAAAGCACAAAGTCAGAGTCAACACAATATCTGCAGGTTTGTAACCCCCCTCCCCCCCAAACACACACACTGAAAAAGGATAAATACTTTCTTAATAGAAAAAAAAACCCTTTGGGCTTATGCCAGAAATAATTATTTCCAAATATTTCCCCTGTTGTTGTGCAAAAGCACTTGCACGGGAGGAAATTTGAAAAGAATCCTATGTGTAAGATAATTGCAAATTTTGGCAAAATAAGGAGTAAATGTATCCACTGTGAATTTTGGAGGATAAAACTGCATTTTTAGGTAATCATGAATCAAAAACCCATTGTCTGCATATTTCTATTTGAAGAGTCTAGTGCTGGCGTGAGGCTTTCTTGAAAATATCTTGCCTTTGGATTGCACAAGCAAGTAAAAGTTCACATTCTGTTTGTATAGATGGTAATTTAATTGAGCCTTCAATTGTCTAGTTTGGATTTTATTTTGCTTTTGCACCTCTAGTATACCATTAGGAGGAATAATGTTAGAAAAACATGCTTATATTCCATAGAATTTCATTAATCTGAAAGTCAGTAAGTGCATCACTTAATGAAAGCTTTAGTATACCATTAGGAGGAATAATGTTAGAAAAGCATGCTTATATTCCATAGAATTTCATTAATCTGAAAGTCAGTAAGTGCATCACTTAATGAAAGCCTGAAGATACTTTTAGAATGTCCATTTAAGTACATGCAATTTCAATTACATGCCAATGTTTCGTTGATTTGGTCTATGTAGAGAAACATTGAGCTGCGTCATTGTTAAACACACTTAATGCTCTGTGTATGTCAATTCCCTCACATTGTTGTGCCAAAAAATGTATCAGGCCCATTGAGGAGTAGAGCTGCAAAAGCAATTGGATTTATTGATATGATGATCGATTACTCACTGGCTAATGCACCCCTACAGAAAGAACTATCAGCAGGTGAGTCACAAACTACAACTTAGCAATAAATATGAAGAACTGCCAATCAAACTTTCTCTTAAACAAGAAAGTGAATTTAATTATATCAGAAACTTAAAACTGAATTGTTTTATACTATAATTTTCCGGTTAATAGATAATGATTGGAGGACAAATATATGTTGCTTAAACGTTATGCCTTGCTATCTATTTATCTTTGTATTTATGAAGTCTGAATTATAACTGGACAGAGGAGGTGGGAAATGCTGCTGCCTTTCTGGCGTCCCCGTTGTCATCAGCTATCACAGGAGCTGTTGTCTATGTTGACAATGGTCTAAATGCAATGGGAGTGGGAGTTGACAGTCCAATATTTGTGAACCTTGACATTCCCAAAGATAACTGAAGCTGGTGTTTTAAGACGAGGAAATGTTCATGAAAATTTTTATTTAGCAAAAGTAGATCTTTTTTTTCCAAATCCATTTACAATTACCACATTGTGAAAGAAGGCAAACATGTTTATCGTTTCCCCTTTCAATGGAAGGGTAATTACATCTGTAGATGAACAGTTGAATTTTCATTTCAACATTATTTGTTTCCTGAAATGAAATAGAGGGGTTTGAGGTTTTTTTTTTTTTAAAAAAAAAAATTCTATAAACTCAAAACCCCCTTCGCCCTGATCATCAATGCCTGGCCGAAAAGATCTCTTTTTTTAAATTTCAAGTTAGGGTTTTGAGTGAAAAACATGAACACTTAATTGAAATTTCGTGGAGAGAAAAGGGCAGTGTTGGGAGCGAAAATGCCTTTAAGAATTTTACACAGTGAAACGTTAGCTTGAAGCTTTGCAAGCTAAGAATGGATTATTGAAGAGAGGTGTTGAGGATCTCAGGCGAGAACTTGCTGACGCTTGTCAACCAATTAAAGACCTTTAAAAACCCTACCTTTATCTATGGTAATAGATTTGCATAATGTACAAATTCCTCAAGCTCTCTCCTCAGCTCCATTTTCCTTTCTTTTGAAATTTTTCTGTGTTGGCAATGGAAATCACAGCAGTTGTTGCAACAAACGAGACATTTTCATCATCCTATAGAGCTGAAGTTGCTGCAAATGGTGAAATGGCTCCATGTCTAGGCTCTAGGATTGCCCAATCACTGTGATGACTATCCAATGAGCCTGAATGCTATTCTTGTTGTGGGCCAAGCCCAGAGGGCAGGCAGGATGAGCATAAAAAGGTTTTAATTTTTGCTCAGAGTAAAATTAATGCTAAAAACTAAAAAGGGTTTGGAGTCTGGATGGATAATTTGCATGTAATAATACTGTCTTCAGAGAATTTTGACATAAAATTTGTGGATGGTAAAAATGTTGTGTGAATTCCTTGTATTAAAGAGAAAAGTGAATGAATGGCAGCAAGTTTTGCTTGTCAAAATGGTTTTGGGGAAATCCAAAACTTTAGAAACACTCAAATGATTTGGCAAACATCATTTCTCCTTAAAACTATCATTTTTCTTTTTCCTCAAAAATAATCATTTGGACATTCACCAATTCTCCCATAATTCATCCCTTTCTTCTCCTAACATAACAACCTCAATTTCTGCTACATTTTTCCTCCAATACCCTTCATTTCCTCTATCTCTCCCTAACTCCCATTTCATGACAAATAGATTTTCAATTGAACCTGCCAACAATCTTAAAATCCAGTGGAATAATTCTCTTTTGTAGATGGTAAAACAATCAAATTTTGACATGTGAGGACATGGACAGATCTTAAAGATTATTTTTTGTTTTGTTGTTGCTATATCTAAATGGTTTCCTCAATCCTCTAATATGATTCTTTTGGTGGATTCCCCTAGCAGGTACGGTTGCATTGGTCAAGGTTTTATTATGGTGGTTCATGGTTGGGATCTTTGTGTTTATAAAAGTTCTTTTGCTTGATTTTGATTGGTGATCATGGGATTTATGTGCTTAGCCTGAACTGCTACGTTTCTGGAATTATTTATGCAGTTCTTCTGTTTGTGATACTTTGTGTGTTTGTGTGTGCGTGTTTTATTGGTGATCATTGATGGGTCTGCCTGATTAGAGTTTCTGGAATTGTTTATTTGGAGTGATGCTAAATATATGTGTCTAGTTATCAGTTTCTTGACTCTCTTCTCTTTTCCTTGCTAACTGGAGTCACAGGATTACCATATGACTGATCCTGTGATTCCCATCAATGTCTGATGATTTCGTTTTTGATAAGAGAATCATATAGTGGAAGTCAATGTTCTGTTTTTGCAGTTGAGCTAAAACTTAATTTGGCTATTTCAGAAAATTTGACCAGCTCAATATCCTCATCTCTTATCTGTTGCTATTTCCTACTTTTCTTTCATCACGGCCAGATCTCTTCTGAAGGACCTCACAGAATTCATGGAACAATTTATACAATTCCTACATGTTAGATGGGTGATTATCTCTCCATGATTGGCAGATTATTTTTCTTGTGTAGGAAGATCAGTGGCAGATTGCGGAGGTATGTAAGCAATGAGTTAGTTCAAGCTTTTTGGTGCTATCATCATTTGCAGGCAGAGCATGTTTTCTTATTTCGCAGGATTCCCTCAAATCAGTTGAACCAATAGTTCGCCAGGGAGGTCCTCTTGAATACCACCATAGGAAATAGTCAAGCTGTTAGAATTTGAGCAGGTGTCTTATTAATAGGAGTTGTGAATTGCCAGTTTTCCGCCATTGTAGTTTACCTTCTTGGTTTAGTTCTGAGGCTGTCTTTCTTGCAAGAGTCGTCCTTCTTTAGAATGCTCTGAAAGACTAGGAATCTCCCCCATCTTCTTCTGTTTATTCATGGCAATTTAACTAGGACCTTTTTGTATGAAATTCTAGCTTTTGTGAGATCTGGTAGACGCTGTATCCTCTCTTTTAGAGATACTGTTAAAGCCATTAAAGTCCCTTGATGATTTAGATGGGTAGAAACTTCCATCTAATGTGAACAAGCTGAATTTTGCCTATCGGCCATGTTAAAAACCGACAAATTGATTGACTCAACTACCAAATCGACACCTAAAGGAGAGGCAAATATTGAAGTCCTACATTTGGTAATGGGAACTCGTGCCGTCTGCTAGCTGTTGCCAGGCCAATTCTCCCACCACCGACCTAACTTTATTAACCAGTCTGGAACCATAGGACGGTTGTCCTCTCATCTCTACCCCTTCAAACCCAAAACTCGTACCGATTATTTGTCATGCATGTAGTCATGATGATTTAATTGGCCTTTAGCTTGAATCATTCACTCTCATGAAATGTCACAATAATTTGTTGCGCAGACAAAACTATCATGATGCTGATGCATTCCAGATTTTTATATCAAGTATCTTATTGTACTGTGGCTTGCAGGAATAGCATATGTTGGAAAAAGATCGTTGAAGTCTTGGTTTCTGTTAATGTATGATTTTCCCAAGTGATGCACGACAGACTGCAGCCATTTTAGCCCCAAATCAAAATTTTTACATTGAAAACAATATTGAATAATTTTCCATTCCACTCCAAGTTCTCTAACACCTACGCCCTTTCATCCAGATGATCAAGGAGCTATTTTCCAAATGGATTAAGTTAGGGCACTGATTCTCTTACAAGATTTTGGCAACTTCTCTGTTCGAGGACCAGATGCAAAAATCTAAAAAAAAAATGAACAGAAAAATCAAAGTCATCTATTGCAATTCACATCCTACCACCATTTGATGCAAACTTCTGAATCTTTTGGACTTACTACAACCTAGCCTTTGAGTTGGTACTCTGATGGTGTCCACAATATCATTGCTTGCAACATACTCACAGCTGGTCCATTGGTTGCTGATGAGAGACTGGTTTTTCTCCATCTGAAAGTTAAAAAAGAGAAAAAAAGATTTAGTCTCTAGCGTGTACATAATTCAGACAAAGTGCTTTATGTGCACCATAGTGGAAATTGCATTATTTAGAATGTAAAACTTGTTGTATTTATGTGGAGGCCATCATACAGTTTATGCACTCTGAATCAACACCAAGTTGTGCATGTCCAGCCTTACATTCTCCATTATATTACATTTGTGGTACATACTCTTATAGAAGTAATTCATCTCCCTAATAATCCCGTGTCACTTACATATTGCCAAAAAAAATGCAAGAGAGGATTAGAGTGAAATGGATTTTTTTCTACCCCGATCAATAGACAACAATACTCTAGATTATTAAAAGCAAAATACCAATATGTGCATGTTGAACAAAGAAAATGCAGCTAGCTTTTTCCCAAATCAAATGGAATAAACGAAAATGTTTTTCAGTAATAAGAAAATGTGTCAATACAGGGCAATCTGCGGTATACAGAAGAATGCAAAAGATCACTATGTATACATATATTGATTACCACTTTCACCATCAGATGCATCAGCAAGCCTCGCAATAGCATCAATGAGCGCTTGTTCATGCTCCTGTATCACATTTAGTGGTTAAGCTTGTAGTATTAAGCAATGAAAAGAAAGATATATTTTAGGCTGTATGAATCACTAATAAGCTTACCTTCAGCTTCTTCTTTGCCTTCTCAAGCTCGAGAGGATCAGGATGACTTGTATCAAAAACCCTCTCCACCTGTTTAAGGGATCAAAATAAAATTAGCTGATTTATAATGTGAATTATCTCAATTAGACATGTAATGATATCAGTTGAGCTGGTTCTCCATAAATACCTCCTTTACCAGAGTATCTGTGTTAAGCAACTCAATATCATCAGAAACTTTCTTTGCATTACCATTCTGTGATGGCAAAAATTCTTTTCTAGACTGGCCCTTCATTGAACCTCGGCCCCTTCCAGGACCTGGAGCAGGACCACCACGACTGAAGGATTTCTTAGCTCCATGGAAACCATGGCCTCCTCGATAAGATATGCCTGGATCCTCACCATCCCATCTGATATCGTCTGGAGATATCTGAAATAATTAGGAGATCAGTATTGTTTTCAATAAAATGTATAGAGAAAACTATTCACCGGTAAGAAGTATTCCAATTTGATAAAGCAGCAAAACACTTGGCAGGCTTACATAATCAAAATCAGCTCTTTTAATGTAAGAAAGCAAACAAATATATATACCAACATGCTCCTACTCTACACCCAGCCGTTCTAACAACAATTCTTCACTTTTCTCTCCCTCCCAATTTCCCCGTTTGATTCAAGATCAAATGCGCTTCTGAGTCCACTTTAGCTTCAGTTGACTTCAGAGTGAAAAATAATAATAAATCTCCATTGTCTGGGACAAAGACTGGAAAAATATATTTGGTATTAAGGAGTCCACTCAGAACCTCCTAATAGATAAGTTCATCACCTTTGCAACATGATTTAGGTAACTGAGAACATAGAGACTAAAGCAAGTTTTGGATTCAGATCTGGTGTAAAGAGTATAAATTGATTTATTATACTCCTTGATATGAAGTTTTCAGTAATCATGGTTACTCCCTATAAAACTCTATCAAGTTATCATCGTACCACTCATACTGCATCCTGTTTTCAACCTGTTGTGTCCAACCAATTTATGTACCTGGCATCAGACAGACTGCCAAAACCAACAAACCTCAGCTCAGCCTCAGCCAAATCCTAGCTAACCACCAAATTCTAATTGTATGCGAGAAGAGAAAGTGGACACATAAAAACCTATAATAAAGTTTTTCTTTTTCCAGCAAGTAGTTAAAATAATTATGCAAATAATAGTTATATTAAAATTATATTTGTCAAAAATTCTAACATTGTTGCTGCACAAAGTAATGACTAGCAGACACAAATGATTCACTTCATGCTAATAAATCATATCCACTTACCTCTTTGAGGTCAACCCATTCCCAGGTCTCATTTGCTGTATTTATATCATAAACCAGAGCATGTCGCCCCTGTGGAAAAAAATAAAATATGCTGATGATCACTTAGCAATCCACAAAATTATTAAAATAGTTCCAAAAGGAGTTTTACGACTGTTGGCAGGCACGTAAACTTTGAGGCATAAAGTACGATCCTTTAGAATAATCAGAATACGATTATGGAGCCTTTAATATCTAATAAAAAAAATCCTAAGATAATGTGAATTAAAAAAAGTTGATATTTTGTCACAGCCCAAATTATTGACAGATTGTAGATAGATTAGCAAAACAGAGACAAATAAAAGAGTTGCAGCATTGGGAAATAAAAATGCATAATATAAACCATTTGATTCACAAGTCAAGTGACAGCATAAACAGGTCCAGAATGTGCAACTATGACTAAGCCTTAGATTTCATGCATACGCTGTCAATGTTACTTATTTTTAAAACTTTCATCATCACCTAAAAACTCCGGCTAAGACAAGTCTTAGAGTGAGAGACAGAAAATGTCTTTGTATGCCTTGAACATACCTCAGAGGGATTGTAATCAGTGATTACAGCCTCATAGAAGTTGTTGTCTTCAGGCCATCTCGTCCACACTTTCCTTCCAATTATAGGATCAAAAGTTGCTCCTTCAGCAGGTTCATTTGCAGGAAGGCCAGCAACTGAGCCACGGTTATTGAATTGCCTATTTCCAGCAGAAACTGCAGAAGGATATTGCATAGCCTTTGCTGAGGATAAGCCAGGCAATGACTGACCCTGTTAGGGAAAAAGTGAGTAAAACAAAGCATGCCAAATGGAGGTCAATGTACTCTTTTGCATTTCTATCATGAATAAGATCGTTGCTTCAAGAATTTGGTCCATGTTTCTAAAGCAGCTTGCTAGCTAGCATCCAAAGAAGAAAGCTTAACGTATAGAACTACAAATATGAGAAGTTCTAAAACCTGTGGTTGCACCAGCAATGGTAAGAGAAGTTACCAACTGAGATGTCTTCTGTTTCTTGCGGGATGCTGACACAGTTGGACTAGGTAAAAGACTGTGAACAGGATGAGATGCACTAAGTCTTGCAGACTGGTTCCCACCAGCTTGTCTCCAGTCCCTGCTAGCGTTGCCCACATAAAACCCATTAAACAGAATAAGATATAAAAAGCCCATTGAATCAATTACTGGCCCCTGAAAGTCAGACTAATTCATGAAGCATTCAAACCTTATCTTTCTGATAATCTCATCAGCATTAACCTTGGTCAGAAGCTCTCTATGCTCATCATCTGACACTCTCAGTTCTTTCCTAAGTTCTGTTATCAAGCCTTCTTTTTCCTGAAGACACAGCATATGACGGAGAATGCAAACCCAATCAGCATGAAATAAATAGGAATGCTTGTTAAAACCAATATGTGCAAATACAACAAAGTAAGTACCCAGGTAATGGCATCGGATTGAGCTTTAAAAGCGCGCAGGACAGAACAGTAAGCTTCTTGCTCAAGTAGATGTATTTGGGCCTCCATGTCAAAATGCATCTTGGAATATGAGGCAGAACCTACGATAGATCTTCCATTACTAGCAAAATTACCCCCTATTGAAACTCTAGTTGGATGTGATGGAGGTAGATCATCATCAGTACCTGTAGTTATTTCAGATAAAAACATGCATGACCATGCTGCATAGAGCACCCAAGGACAATAACCAGTCTTCTGATGCTCTTGTTTGAAAGGTTTATTACTGTTAATCTCTTTGATAAGTAACAAACTTATTAGGGGTAAAAGAAAGTTAAACAAACCCGATTTCACTGGGTTTCCCCGTCACAAAGTAAAAAGGCAAAGGGAAAAGAAACAGTAAGATTAAATTAGAAAAGAAATGCGAACATACTGTGTTGACTGATGCTAGTCTGGTAGGAAACCCGAATCAAAGCTCAACATTGTGAAGTCAAGTGAACAATTAAACACTAATAATTCACAGAGGAAAATCTTTTGAAACAATTATAAGAAAATAACATAGTTTATTGCCAGGATTCTAACAAGAATAGGTATTTGTTTATTTTTCAAGTATCAAGTAACCAAAATCTAGCAAATTATGAACAAATAATTGAATAAAAAAACTTTTTTCAACTTTTGACCATGGATTTCTCTACATTTGAATCCCAATTAGAACTCAAAGAATAAAACGCAAATTGCACCTAAAAGTTGGAAACAAATCAATAACTAGAAAGCAAAAGTCAAAGAAAACCATACAACATCATTGCCCGAATCGAATCATCAAAAATTCATTGACCCCGATTAAACCCTAAACCTCAATTCTCATGTCCCCCCAACAAAACCCCCAAAAATCAATGCACCCATTATCCAATTTCCAAATACAAACAAAGCCCACAACCCCGAACAAGATAAAAAAGCTCGACAAAAAAGAAACCCAGAAACACCGACATTGTTCAATGCAATAATATGACACTAATAAATACGACATACCACTACTATCGCAAACTTCATAGTCCATACCAAGAAAAAAAGTGAGAAAAGGTCTTCTCTTCGTTGAAGAAAAACACCACCAAAAAACCCTAACGAGAAGTTGGCCCGAGAGAGAGATTCAAGGAAGAAGCTGCTGACGATGCGCTTCAATGCAATGCAAAGCCAACTTAAAGTAGAGAGATCTAAAGAGAAAGTTGAAAGCCTTTTTGTCTCTTCTTTTGAAAGAGATTTGATTGGTTTTATAGGGAGAAAAGAGACAAAGATCTGTTAAGAGAGGGAGAGAAGGGAGGGACTTTGGACTTGAAACTTCAGTTACCGTCGTGTCTAATTATTTATTTATTTATTTATTTTGTTTCTTTTAAGGTTGGCTTTTTCTTTTTTCTTCAGTTCCTGTCCAGTTCCGACAAGTTTTGGTCCAAAATCTTTGTATCGGGCTGTTGTCTGTGCTTTTTATAGGCTTAAATCTGTAAGACAAGTTTATGGTTTAGGCCTTTTGGGTCTTTTGGGCCTTTGGGGCTCTAATGCATGTAACTTGTAGTCATTGATTGGACATTTACTCATTGTGGTTTTGGCCTTTGGGGCTCTAATACTTGAATGTGGACCACTTGCATACTTTAATTTCTTAAAAAAATATATAGTTGTGGTTTATGATTGTGATTATGTGAATACTCCAGAATTTTTTTTTCTTTTTCTTTAAAAAAATGAAAATATAGTTATTTGTTGGCCAAAAAATGGTTAAAGTAATTAAAAAATAGTTAAAGTAATTTTTTTTTCTTATTCTTTAAAAAGATGAAAACTACAAAAAAATATATGGTATCCAATTGAAAGTTACTCTCTTAATCTCGTAAATACTGTCTTTTTTTTTTTTTTGTCTCAAATTACTTTTCTATTGCTTTTCTTGTTCATGGCGGTGATCATATCTACTTTTCAATTTGGTTATTGTTTGTTGAAGGATATAGAATATTTTAATTCTCTCTTTGAATGGTAAATTTTTTTCTTTTCTGCGATTACTAGTCTTAACAATGGTTTTGATTTCAAAGTTATAAGGTTGATTTGAAATATTTATATATTAATCGATATACATTTTTTTAACCGAATTGCTACAGAATAAATTTTGAAAATGAATGGACTTTCATATTGTAGCACTGCCATTTATTTTCTCTTAACCATAGATTTCTGATCATCATAAATCAGTTGTAGACTTGTGGCTGCAAATCAATATATCTAGCATTTAAATTCTCTTTCTTTTTTTTTTTTTAAATTTCATCCAAATTGGGTTCATTTTGACACCAATCATAATAAGTTAAAGGGCCTGATTGACACAAAACAAATAAATAAAAACTTAAGTGAGAATTTCATAATAGTTTTAGGGTTTATTTTATCATTAATTATGTGATTGTCATAATTAGTAGTACTACAAATAATATTAGTAGTAATACAGGAAACAAGCTTCCACCACCACTCTAAGCAATGAAAAATAACCACAAACATCAATCCTCACGTAAAAGGCATATGCAGATATACTACACTAGTTCTATTAACAATAGTGAAGCATGCAGTAATATGTCAGTCAAGAGTTTTGGTCGTTACATCAATGGCTTTGTTATAGAAATTGTGGAAGTTATTAAATTCCACGTTTCATACCAAATGAAATTAAGATGATGATATATATATATATATATATTAATATAAAGAATATGTACTATTTTTATATTGTTTCCTTTAAGAAGGTTTCTAATTTTTTAAGCCGGTACTTCCTTGTGTATCAGCCATGAAAAACTTGACATTGAATCAAAAATTTTGGAGCCAAGAGACCCAATAAAATTGGCATGGGTGAAGTAAAGATAATTGCTCCAATATTTCTTCATGAAAGATGTGTTTCCCTTCAAGGAGGAAGAAAAAAGTGATCGAGATAAGTAGTAGTATTTCTTTCTTCCCTGTGCAGGGACTACCCAACACATCAGACCTCATGCTCCTTAATTTTAATTAATTCAAGCCTTTGGATCTTTGGTCATGATTTTAGGAGACTGATGATGAGTGTACCTAGACGGGGCTCATTCAAGATTGAACCATGACTTTCTGTCTGTTCATGAGAATATAAGCCCCCGAACCAAAGAATTAGATGTAAAATCAAGAAACGCACTTTGGGTTGTCAGCTTCTCTGCTATGTGTTTATTAAATTGATTTGGTATATTTTGAATTGAATTATTTAAAATTATATTATTACATTTTTATTAATCGAAGTAATTTTTTTAATTTTAAAAATTAATCGATTGAAATTAATTTGATCAATCGGTTAATTTTTTCAATTAACAAAATAAGAAAATATTTTAAACTAATTATATTTTAAATTCTTAATTTCTTATATTAAAAATAAATTAAATAAAATCATCCAACAAAAATATTTAAATATCAAAATATTAAATTAAAACCTTTAATATCTTGAAATAAAATGAATAATTTTATATATTTTTAATTATATATATAGGTTTTATTATATTTTGATTAAAATTTCGATTAATTCGATTTTCAAACTGAATTAATTGAAAACTAAAATGTTTTTAAGATCATTTTCGATAATCGATCAAAATTAATTTAATAATCAATCAATTAATCAAATTAAATTGATTCAATTAATTAATTTAATAAAAACCGAATTATGAATGTTCTTAATTTTAGATATAATAAAATAGTCTTTACAACTCAAAAGGTAAAAAAAAAAAAAAAAAAAAAATCAGAAAAGTTGAAACACTCTCTTTGAGAATTGCTGATGGAAATGTGGATCCGAATTATTAATTTTAGTAGTCAAATATAAAAAGCTTAACAATAAGTAGAAGAATAGAAGGAAGATTATAAATAAAATGTAAATCCAATAAAAAAGAAATAAGAAAAAGATTATAGAAAATGGGCCAACTGAGGCTTCCTTTTTTCTGAAAGAATGGCCGAAGCCCAACAGGGATCTGAATAAAAGGCTGATTGTAGTAATCACTGTCTCGAGCTACGAATCAACGAAGGCTTTTTCTTTTTCCAGAAGCCCAACCAAGTTCAAGTGCTCATAAATTGAACACCTTTAATTGAAATCTTACCAACTTTTTTTTGAATTATTCATGCTTAATAATAAAATTGGACTTATTTAAGTAAATGAGATGATTTTGACCTTCTAAAGAAGTTTATAAATTACCTTGAATTCCAAAATAAATATAATTATTGATAAAAAAAAAATCATTTACTATCACTGAAATTTAAAATCTCTATAAGATTAAGAACATTTTTTTCACGATCAATGATAAAAGCTTTTTTTTTTTTTACTTTACAGTTTTCTATTATTTATTTTTTAGTTGAAGATTTGAACAAATGAAATCTTAATAAGTTTTTGTAATCCATTTCGAATATGAGACAAAAAGAAAAAAGCGAAAAGCTCACTGATTCAGGACAACAGGTAAACCATTCTACTAAACTCTTGACTACTCGAGGAAAAAAAATTTTAAAACCAGAAGTCTGGCAGCCACTGTTTCTGTGAGAGGGGGACATATTAGCCATATTGAAATTCTACAAAAGTACTACTGCGTTGGGTTTTTAAATGCCCAAATAAAAATTCAAAGGTGAAATTTGCCCCATTTCTCAACTTCCCTTTTCCAAAGCTTCCTGCAGTTTTATTTTGGGAGCAGCAAATGTTGAAGCTATAAAGGCTGTCAAATTTCAGTTCTATCTTCTTAACATTTTTCAATTCCTTTCTTATATTTGAATTCGAATTCGAAAATTTTAAAGATCAAATAATTCGGGTGTTACTTTTGAAGCCTTCAACACTTTTTCAATCAATAATATTGCTCAATAGGTGATAAAAATTGTAGGCAATTTTATCTATCCACATGTGTGGATAGTTGAACTGGGGGTGACAATGAAAAAAAATTACATTATAGTTGGAAAAGAATGAAAAGAGAATTCATTCCTTGATTTTGTAACTTTGTCATTCCATTTTGAAAATTTAAAACCACAAAATCAAGGACATAACTTTTTGAGTTAATGACATGTAGAGATAGCTAGAATTTCTCTGTCAAAGAATAAAATCCCAAGAAGTACTAAGCATCCACTTTTCTATGTAAAAGTCATACGAAACAACGTGACCAAAGGAACCAATTGACTCTGATAAAGGTCTTTCCCTCCCCTTCTTCTCTCTTTTTATTTTACATGTAAAAGCAATAAAGGGAGTTTTGGAATAAAAAAAAACACACCAGGAGATAAAAGAACCTATCATTGATTGATGCCTTGCCTCCGTCATTTTACAGTCTTGAGAAGAATTCTGTACAAAAGCATGCTTGGCTATTCTTGAGCTACTCTTGGCTTATCTGCTTCTACTCTCCAGTGAGAATCCAATCTAAATACTAAATAACAAGGCCAACATACAGTTACATACTGCGCGATGGGGCTCGGTCTCCAATGTATGCAAATTTTCAAAGAAAAGAGTTTCAAATAATGTAGACAAATTTGGCTAAGACAAACGGGGATTAACCTGTATATGTACAAATCTACTAGTAAATTTAGAGTCACCTTCTTAAACCACGGATGTACTTAAACCTTCCAGTCTCACCACCAAACTTTCAGGTTAGTGGAACTTTTATCTGATTGATTAATTATTTAGTTTCATTTAGATTTCAGTCATCTAGATTTTGTTAGCTTGCAGCTTTGATTAATATCTTGGAACATACATAGAGTATACTACTAATTAGGAGCAAGTTTTCATAAAGAATTTCTGAGATGACTTTGATTGAAGGTACAGAGCCTGTTGTGTCTTTGATTATGTCCATTGGTACCTTATGGCAGCTTCATGCCATGGCCATGTACATGTGCCTTAGATCATGTGAGATTCATCAAGATCTTCACTCCTTTTTCTGAATTGGAGGAGGTTCAACAAAATGTTTTCCATTACCTCTCCTTTCTTTCGGGGGGCTTCATATTATTGTTTTGAAGAGGCAAGATCCAGGAATTGCTATGACTTTGTAAAAATTAAGTGTAAAGTATTTACAACAAGGAACATTATCTAGCATATATACGCTTGAAAGATTAAGGGAGCTACAATGGTGAGTTATTCTTTGGGGGAAAGGGCTTTCTCAATCGCTTTCACTTTCTTATATTTAAAAAATCGATGTTTTCCAAACTTCAAAACTTCATATGAAATCTAGAAGGCCTTTTATAAAACTTCAGAATCGGGAAAAATTAGTACCATTTGAAATGCTTGTCAAGTGGGTACAGTGTAATTTGATCTTTTGTAGGTATGTCTATTCGAGCTAAGCATGGTGTTAAAAAAATGGGGTCAAACTCTATGTAATTGGTTTTGGATC